CGTGGCACCCCGGGGCTGCGTGTCCAGAGATGGGAAGAGAGGCTCGGCCCCCCGGGGCTGCGTGTCCAGAGATGGGAAGAGAGGCTGTGGCACCCCAGGGCTGCATGTCCAGAGATGTGAGTCTTCAGGGCTGCCTGGGTGCTGAGTCTGTGTGTCACAGCCTGTGGTCCTGCAGGAGGACTTGGCTGCCCATGCTTTCTTGCCACTAGGGGTGGCCAGAGGACGAGCTCCGCACACAGTGGAGTGGGGCCTCTCCCTGCCGTCCCCTCCCTGTCCCTGCTGGCTGGAAACCAGCTGCGATGGGTGGAGCCTGGGTAGCCACCCTGGACAGTGAGGGGAGCCACGTGTTGGGAACCATGGAGCAAGGAGACTGGAGGCAGGGACCCTTGTGACTGTGGAGAGGGCAGTGGGCCCACAGTCCGCCTCTCTCCAGGCTGTGGCGTGGGAGGAAACTGAAGGCCTGCTTCGTGTGTCACTGTTGGTCAGGAATTTCTCCTTCTGGGGCAGAAGCTTCCCACACAGCTGGTTGGACGTCGCCGCTGTCTTAATGCTGTGGAGGGAGAGAATGTGATGCCGTCAGTGCAGTCATAGGAAGAACAAGAATGTCGGGGCCTGGGAGGCACCCTGCTGTTCGGGTTCAGGATTTTACTGATGTCAGGGTGGGGGATGTCACCCACCAGGACACAGACTCAGCCCAACGCTGCACATCTGATGGAACTGCTGAGCAAGGAGGAGGAAGCCCTGCTCCTTGGGAGCCAGGAGGCTGCATCCGGTGCAGGCTGTGGGGCCTGGAGTGGCAGGGTGGCTATGGGAGGGCACAGGACGCAGGGGCCCCCGAGGACTTGCAATCAGCTGGACAGCTGTGCTTCTGCAAGACGAGTATCTCCAGGCTTCAGGGGTGGGTAGGTCACTGGGAAGCCTTCACTGGACAGAGGTTCTGGGGCTGGGCAGGAAATGAAGCTATAGAAATCCAGGAAAAGCACAAAAGCTGGCATTGTCAGGGCGGAGGCATGCAGGACCGTCCTAGAGCCCCTCAGTCTCGGAGGCGGCCAGCAGAGACAGGCTGCCGTGGGTCTGACCTTAATACTGGGTCACAGTCTCTTCTAGGACCACGAGGACAGAGGCCACACCACTGGGTGCAGGGGCTGTTTCCAGGCAGACTGACCAGTGCCCAGCCAAGCCTCTGATCTAGTGTGGCCCCCGCAGGGCGTGTCCAGGACCCACTCTCAGGTCTAGAAGAACCACCTGGGCAGTGTTGGTTCCACCAAGAGTGGACAAGACAGAGGACCAGAGATAGCCCCACCCAGTGGGACCCAAGGACACGGGCAGTGGCTTTTTAGATGTGTGGGCCAGGGACTGGGGAGCCGGTGACTTCTGGGCCCCTGGGTGGCCGTTCAGGAACGGCAGCGGCTCCTGGACTGCAGATGCTCGCTGCCTACATAAGCCGCCACTGTGTGAATGCAGAGCGTTAGAGGAATGTTTGAAAGAGAATGTTTACTCCCTGAGGTTATGGCAACGCAGAAAGTACGTTTTCTGTAGAAAATGTGATACTACAGAGGTAAAGGTCACTTTGATTAAATGGCAGTTAGAAATAACACGCAAGGCTGGGTGCAGCGGCTGACGCCTGTAATCCCAGCCCTTCAGGAGGCCGAGGCGGGTAGATCACCTGAGGTCAGGAGTTCAAGACCTGCCTGGGCAACACAGTGAAACCTTGTCTCTACTGAAAATACAAAAATTAGCTGGGCATGGTGATGGGTGCCTATAGTCCCAGCTACTGAGGAGGCTGAGGCAGGAGAATTGCTTGAACCCAAGAATCAGAGGTTGCAGTGAGCCGAGATCGTGCCGCTGCACTCTATCCTGTGCAACAGAGCGAGACTGTGTTCCAGAAAGAATGACATAGCAAAACAGATTTAAAAACAAAAACAGGTGACAGATAGGGGTTTGGGTATTTTCAATTTGTGTGCCAGCCTAAGGGTGAATGTCTGACATACTCAGTGGTGCGGGGGCCGAGCCTATAATCCCAGTGTATCCGGAAGCTGAGGCTAGAGGGTCGCTTGAGCCTAGGAGGTCACGGCTGTAGCAGGCCGTGATTACACCACTGCAGTCCAGCAAGACCCTGTTTGTAAAACAAACAAGTGGAAAAGTTTATATATTCAAAGACTTCTTCCAATCAGGAAACGGAAAAATCCCAGTAGGAAATGGATGAGGGTGGTGAGAACCGGGGTGCCCTTCCCAGGTTCTCACGGGTGCAGCAGTCACCGCCGGTAACCACTGGCCTGGCCTGCGCCCAGCCCTGCACCAGCCATACCCAGGGAGCCTGATCCTATTCCTTCATATGGAATAGAAAGGGCTGAGCCAGTCCGCTTTGGCAGTCTGTGGAAATCTGAAGCCTGCGGTCTTCAGCCCAGCCCCACCCTGGGCCTGCATGTGGCTGCGCGTCATAGAGAAACTTCTGCCCTGATGGTGACCTGAGTGAGCAGCAGTGTCACAGAATAAGCCACACCTGTGTATAAGGTCCGGAAAGGTAAGTGCGACCTACCTGAGTCCTGAGCACAGGAGAAGCAGGTGGTGGAACTCCATGACAGGAGGTGGGTGTGGCAGGCCCCTTCCTGACCCCGTGAGAATCGGCTCCCACCAGGAGCACCGTGGGGTCTGTTTCCCGCCCAGTAGCAGTGAGCTTGGGCACCCGGCTTTCCCCAGGCCTGCTCTGAGCACCAGAGGTGAAGGCACCAAGCGGAGTGGGGCTGAGTCCCTGGTGGTGGAGGGAACACATCTGTGGGTGTTGGCTGAGGCTGGCTTCTGGGAGGCCGCTGCGTCCTGATCTAAAGGGGCAGGCCTGGCTGCACCCACCCCCTGCAGACTTCCTCCATGGGAGACCGATGCCATGGCCAGGGGTGGAGCAGTGTGAGGGGGAAAGGAAGGTAGATCCCGAGGCTGACAGCAGCTGCAGCGCCCTGGCCTGCGGACCTGTGGGTGACGTGGCCACCACAGGGTGACGCCCACACTGGCGGCTCTGGCCTTGCAGCTGTGCACAGGCCAGTCTGGCATGTGGTAGAGATTGGGGCACGGAGCCTCCAAGCCATGTTCAGATTCCTGTTGTGCGAATGCACTCACCCAGCACTACGTTGTTAAAAATACGTTCATTAGGGAAAAGGGCAAGGGCCTGAAAACAGCGTACCAAGAAACGTGTCCGGGCAAGTTACTAAAGCTACTCAGGGAGGCTGCTTGCTTTTCACTGCTCAGCTGTCTTCACCTGCTGCAGCTGGGTGGGGGCACCCTGGGCCTGCAGGAGGGTCCTTGGCCGACATGTTTCCGCTCCACAAAACTTATCTCGATGAGAGAAACAAACTTTCATCATGGAAGAGTCAATGCGGGAAGCTACCTGAAAGCTTGGCAGTAGGGGTATTCACATGAATCTGACTTGATTATGCGGGAGGTGACATGCTGCAGTTTAGAATCGACTTTTCCAAGCCCGTGGCTGAATGCTCAGGGTGAAAGCAAGCCAGTGCCTGTGTACACACAAGCCTGTCCTGTGCACTGCGGGTCTTTCCAGCCGTTCACACAGCCTCTGCACACATGGCGGGAGGGGCCCCTGTACATCCAGCTGCACAGGCTGGCCCCCCGGGCTGATGACTGACCCCAGGGCCTTCCTGACCCCAGGGCCCATCTCCAACACGCCACTGCTGTTCGCATGTGTAGCCCTTCCTGCCCACAGTGGGTGCCGATGAAGCTTCGCCTGCAGGCAACTCCCCTCAGCTGTGTCTGTTCTGCCAAGCTGTCCGAGGCAGCCTCCATGGTATGTGGCCGCCCATCTCCAGTGCACGCAGCACAGGGTCTTCCTGGCGCCTCCACATACAGCCATGCACCAGCCGCCCACTGCCAGCCTCCGCCTGTGCTGTCCTCCATGGCCTCACCGGGTCCACACTGCCGCTGGTCAAGTGTGGCGCACTAGGGGTCTGCACCCATGCAGCCTCAAAGCCCTCCCAGGAGCTCAGGGCCAGCCGTCAGCCCTGTCTGTGAACTGATGAGTGTTATGACCATTCCTCTGTGGTCTGTGCAGATGCTTTCCTGCCTCCTGCAGTCGAGGTGCTCCGACCTTCCCTTACTCCCACATAACACTCAGGCCAGCCCAGGGCTCCCCTGCCCTGCTGCCCAGAAGGGAGGCTGTGCCAGCTTCAAAGGCAATCATCTGTTCTGGCTGAGCTGGAAGTCCGGGCACTACAGGAGAAAGGGTTGCAACTGGGTGGTGAGCGTCTTGCTGGGGCTGCCCTCACCCCACCCTTGTGTGCCGGCCCAGCACCAGCTGTTCTGCCCAGCCCCAGGCAGGGTCAGCTCCCACAGGACACCCTGCAGTCCAGCAACCCAGGCACTGCCACCAGGGGGCCGAAGGCTCGGCACGGTAGGGAGGGAGGGAAGGACGCCGCCCAGGCCCTAGCAGCCTCTGGGCTGAGCTTGCACTCTTGATCTGTCAGGAGGCCCTGTGCCCCCACTGGACAGGCGGTGGGTGGGAGTCATGTCCTCATGGGAGTTGCAGTGGCGTCTCCCAGGACTCGGACGTGCCCACGTGGATGAAGTCTGTGCATCCTGGTGTCCTCAGCCACCAACCGTGGCTGTTTCCACAGCGTCTGCACCATGTGGGTGTTGTCATACATGGGCACGGGCTTGTGGGATGGACGTGTGCAGCTGGGTGTTTCTGGGCGTGGGTGCGTGTGCAGGCAGTCCACACCCTCCTCCGCCCCGTGCCCAGTGCCACACCTGATTCTTCTGCCTGGCACTTCCTCCACCCGTGTGCCTCTGCACTCCATGCTGCCCCTGCCCTCCTTGGGGTCCCCTCTAGGCTGGGGGTACCTGGGAGCCTTTGGCAGGGCGGGGTTGGCCATGACCACAGCGGCTCCTGGTGTTGGCTAAGTGGAGGCACCATGGTCAGGCTGCTGTGTGCAGGTCCACATTCACTGTAGCTGTTCCAGTCTAGGATTTGTCATGGAAACCGAAAAGGAGAGAGTGGCTGTTGTGAACACAGCTCCCCAAGCCTCGCCGGCCGTGCTGTGCACTGTGCCCGCTGTGGGCAGCATTTCTGGGCAGGCGCTCAGGTGACACAGGGCAGTGCGTGCTCCTGTGGTCATGTCCTTGTGGCTGGGTGGCCCCTGCCTGTTTCTGCCCACGTGCTTGTGTGTCCTGGGGACTTGCTGCTTTTGATCTGCACCTCTGGGCCTGCAGGTCTCGGGTGCCCTGCCTCTCCCCATGCAGCCGCACCTGCTCAGCGTCCTTCCCAGGTGTGGCTGCGCCCCCTTCTTGCATCCTTGCCTGGCGGGGACCCCATTTCCTCCATGAGGCTGAGCAGAGTCTCAGGGTGGGGTGCTTGCTCAAAGGGAAACATCTCAGCCACCACAGTGGGGAGTGGGCAGCCCTGACCAGCGCCAGCGTGCACCCTGCGCAAGGCTGAGGGGGCTGTGGCAGGCATTGCCGGGACTCAGGATGCCCTGGTGGTGGTGAGGGGCAGCGTGTGGTGGGGAAGCAAGTGTTCGCCTGGCCTCCCCCAGTGTCTGGGCTGGTGCTTGGGGAACAGAGCCTGAGGGCCTCTGGCTAATCTCCCAGCCAGGCGCATCCCTGCCCCGAAGGCTGAGGCTGAGGGTCTGCAGGCGCTTAGCCGGTGTGCTTTCTCCTCGCTGCAGGTCCTGAATGAGGCCGTGGGGGCCCTGATGTACCACACCATCACACTCACCAGGGAGGACCTGGAGAAGTTCAAAGCCCTGCGCATCATAGTCCGGATCGGCAGTGGTTTTGACAACATTGACATCAAGTCGGCCGGGGATTTAGGTAGGCCGTCTCCGAGTTCTCTCCTGTGCCCATTTGTGCGAGCTCCGTCAGGCTTGCTGCTTCCATGGAGGCTTCGCTGCCACATCGAGGACCCCGCTGCATGTCACTGGGTGGCAGTGGCGTGTGGTCCCGTCAAGGGCCAGTGTGAGGTTGCAGCCATTCCGTTCCTCACAGAGCCTCATCTGCAGGCACATGCTCTCGTGGGCAGCAGGAAATCCAGCTGCAGCTTCACACGCGTGCAGCTGCTGCCATGTGGGTCTGTGTGCATATGGGGCTGGTGCCCCTTGCTGGGGTACCAGGGCCCTGGGGGTGAGGGGCAGGGGTGTCAATGTATGGCTATAATAGGCTCATAGGTTTCTGTCCCAAGACACGGTGGGAACGGCGGTGTGTGTCACAGCCCAGTACACGTGCACGCGTGCATGGAACACACACACACGTCTGCACCATGCACACACACATCAGAACAAACTCGGGGAGCAGTGCTCGGCCGTTCTGCATGGAGTGCACGTTCCGTTTTCTGCCGTGCCCAGTCTGTTTTTTCTTTTCCTCTGCTGGTAACAGATGAGGTCATATCTTGTTGGTACCCACGGTTGGCCAGATCACGGCGTGGTTTTGCCTCCGTCTTCCTAGGATGCAGCTTTTGACCTTGTAAAGTCAGAATGGCTTGTGTTCCTGCAGGAAACGCAGGTGGTGTTGGAAGCCATGCTTCCTGTTCAGGGGTTTCCTTCTGTGTTGGCTTGAGCTGCTTTACCGACACACGTGGGCCAAAGCCGCGTGCAGCCCCGTCCTGCCTGGGTCTCTGTGGGCGGTGTCCCGGGAAGGGCTGGCCGTGCTGTCGGGCGCAGGCCTGGGTGCTTTCTGAGCAGCCCCATCTCCCTTGTCCTTGGAGTTTTCCAGGCCAGGGCCCTGCTTTTCAGCCAGGGATCGTCTGGGGCATCCCTGGGATCTGGCTGCCCTCAGGAGGCCTTTGTTCCAGTCTTGTGCCTGGCTTGGTTCTCTTCCGTTGCTTAACATTTTTACATCCAAGTGAGTTGTGTCTGGGGGCTTTCGGGATCCCGCCCTTGGCCTCGTACAGCCCCTGCTCATGCCTCCCCACGTCAGGCCCCGCCTGGCCCTCGGGACCACTTGTGGAACCACGTGGTCCTGTCCAGCCTCTGGGCATGAGTGCAGCTCTGTCGGGGCGCCCTGCTCCTCCTCCTCGCCAGGGAGATGGACGGCCAGTTAGATGCAGGGCCAGTTGGACGCAGGAGTGTGACCACCCGGATGGGGTAGGAAGTGCAGAGCCGGGCCGGGCGGGGTGCTGGCCAGGGAAGGGGCTGCCTCTGGGTATGAGGCCAGGAGAGTGGAGTAGGGGTCACATGGAGGACGTTACACAGCAGGCACTCATGAGTGTGCCCGGCTTAGCTATTTGGGAGAAATGGGATGGATTCGCTTTCCAGGAATGGCTCCAGCTTCGGTGTTACTGACTGCAGGGTGTGGTGCATGGAGGGTGGAAGGGGCTGCAGGGGCCCCACTTGGACTGGGGGAGCCCTAAGGACAAGTGCAGATGTCCATGTATGTGTGCTGGTGGGCCAGCACCCAGATTCTGACGTGGCCGCAGCTTCCCAGGGAGGAATTGGGGCAGTGGTGGTCCTGGGCTTCCAGTGCTGAGTTGGGAGGGGTCAGGACAGCGTCTCCACCTCAGCCCCAGCACACAGGAGCTGGGGCCTCGTGAACCTTAAGTGGAGTTGGGGCTTGGGCCACAGCACGCAGGGGCCTGGCTGGTTACTCTGCCACCCCCTGTGAGACGCGCTTGTTCCATAGTCTCCCAGGGTTGCCTTGGGAACATGTCCTTTGGCTTCTTCCTTGGGAAGCTTCACACCTGCTCCGGCCCCGGCGGCCCTGGTGTCCTCCCGGGGGCTGGGCCTGGTCCGGGGGTGACCGCCGTGTCCTTGTCCCCACAGGCATCGCCGTCTGCAACGTGCCTGCAGCGTCTGTGGAGGAGACAGCCGACTCGACGCTGTGTCACATCCTGAACCTGTACCGGCGGGCCACCTGGCTGCACCAGGCGTTGCGGGAGGGCACGCGAGTCCAGAGCGTGGAGCAGATCCGAGAGGTGGCGTCCGGCGCCGCCAGGATCCGTGGGGAGACCTTGGGCATCATTGGACTCGGTGCGTCGGCCACAGTTCCGTGCCTGTGCCCCCTCCCAGCGTCTGGCACTGCCATTCTTCAGCCATGCCTAGGAGGACAGGCCCAGGGCTGGGTGGGGCTGCGGGTGTCGGTCCCAACCCAGGACAGGACTGAGTGTGCACAGCCCAGGCGCCGGGTCCCAGGAATCCCAGGCTGTGTGCCCTACACACACAGACGTCAGAGCACACACATGGGCATCACACGGGCTTGCACACGTGTCACGTGGATGTCACCGCACACAGCCTCACATGGGCACACATAGACATCACACACAGATGTCACAGCACACACAGCCTCACACAGACATCATAGCACACACGTGGACCTCACGGGCCTGCACAGACATCACACACAATCCCAAAGCACACGTGGACCTCACAGTTATCACAGTACACATGTGGACCTCATGGGCACACACAGACATCACACACAGATGTCACAGCACATGTCGGCCTCACATGGGCCTGCACAGACGTCACACACAACGCCACAGCCCACTTGTAGGCCTCACAGACATCATAGTACACATGACCTCATGGGCACACACAGGCATCACATATGGATGTCACAGCACACACATGACCTCACGGGGACATACAGATGTCACAGCATGGCTATCACACGGCACACGAGCATCATACGTGGATGTCACAGCACACAGCTATCACACGGCACACAGGCATCACATGTGGACTTCACAGCACATAGCTATCACACGGCACATGGGCATCACACGTGGACGTCACAGCACACACGTGACCTCACGGGGACATACAGATGTCACAGCACACACAGCTATCACACGGCACATGGACATCACATGTGGACGTCACAGCACACACATGACCTCACGGGGACATACAGATGTCACAGCACACGCAGCTATCACACAGCACACAGTCATCACATGTGGACGTCACAGCTATCACACGGCACACGGGCATCACACGTGGACATCACAGCACAGCTATCACACGGCACACAGGCATCACACGTGGATGTCACAGCACACACATGACCTCACGGGGACATACAGATGTCACAGCACACACAGCTATCACACGGCACACAGGCATCACACCTGGATGTCACAGCACATAGCTATCACACGGCATGCGGGGGCATCACACGTGGACGTCACAACATGCACATAACATCACGGGGACATACAGATGCCAGAGCACACACACAGCTATCACACGGCACACAGGGGCATCACACATGACCTCACGGGGACACATTGTTGTCAGTTGTGGACACATACGCAGCTAGACATGGACATACATGTGGGCACACACGTCAGCCACGGTCTGGCATGTGCTCACCCTTCAAGGCCCCTGGAGCTGGCTGTGTGGGCTCTGCTCGGGCAGGGCCGCCTCTGCCGTCACCAGTAGCTCCTCCTGCTGCTGGCCCTGGTCCCATGGAGTGGTTTGACCCCGTGTTCTCTCACTCTTGATTTGCCACTCACTCTGCAGCCGCCTGTCCTGGGCCCAGCGCTGTCCTGGGTCTGGTGCGCAGCAGGCCCCACATAGCCAGGCCCAGGTTGAGCTCAGACCAGCAGGCGTGTGCGTGTGCCTGTCTGTGTCTGTGTGTGTCTGTGTGTGTGTATGTGAGATTCTGGGAGTAGAGTCATGTCTTGAAGGAAAGTAGAGCTGAGAGAGGGCAGGTGTGGGGAGCCCCATAAAGGAGGGAGGAGAATCTGGGCTGGGCCCAGGTGTGGGCTGGGAAGATGCTCCCTTAGAGGGTTCATGGAGAGGGTTGGAGGGGTCCCTTTTCTGAAGACCCCCTGGACACTGTGGCCCAGGTAACTGTCTCCCCAGGAGGCCCCATGGGGATGTGAGGACCAGGGACTCCCCTTGACCAGCCAGCCCCCCGCTTCCCAAACATCCAGACAGCCCACCCCTGCTGACTTGTGTCCTTGTCCCACCAGCATGTGAGGAACAGGGACATGTTAGGTGGTCTTGGTGAGGACAACATACCTCAACCAGCGGGAGAGGTTGGCTCACAGATGTGCACGGAACATGTTTGTCTCTTCCTAGACACAGCTCTCATGGCCTTGCTGGTGCCCCCACCAGGACCCCAGGGCTGGTTGGAGCCTCTGAGGACCCTGGAACGCTGAGGTGCCCGTCTCTTATACCTCTGCTCATCTGAGGCCTGGGCGACTCCGCCCATGTCAGGGCCATGGCACACGTGTGTGGAGGGGAGGCAGGAGGAGGCACAGGAAGCCCAGGTGTGGGCAGAGGCCGGGAGGGCCAGGAGATCAGGGCTCCTTGAGCTGCCTGCCAACCCTGTGCAGAGTCAGTGCCTGGGCTGTCTCCAGAGCAAGCCCGTGGGACGAGGGCCTCGTGTGTCCCTTGCCTGCAGGGCGCCGTCTGCCCTGCAGCCACAGGTCTGACGCCTCACCTGGGGTGAACGAGGGACTAGGGGGTTTGGGAAGGCGTGGGCTGTCTGTGTTTGGCGGGGGTGTCTGTAGTTCCCCTGGTAAGAGCAGGTGGGTGTGTTGCCTTTGGAGTTCTGTGTCCTTTCTCTCCTGGGGTCAGGGTCTGTGGTCCCAGCCCTGAAGGCCCCAGGCCCTTCCCGTGGCCACTCTGAGGCCTGAGGGTGGCACCTGCCTAGGCTGAGCGTGGAGCTCGGCCAAGCCTGCCCATCTCACAGCCCCATGCTGAATGGGGGTTGGAGCACCTGGTTGGGGTGCTTCAGAGGGCAGGGCTGTGGCCACCCCTTTCCTTGAGGACCCCGCCTGCTGAGGCCCCCACCCAGGCCTGACCTGAGGAGTGTTGGTAGGGACTGCAGGGTAGGTCCTGGTATCCTGGGGAGTGCAGGGTGGACCTGGCAGGTTGGGGGATTGGCCATGGGCATTCTCCCCTGCATTGGCCCAGGTCATCCTGTGGGCCCTCAGGCAGGCACCTCTAGAGCCGCTGGGGTTGGTCCTGGGGTGCAGCTGCTTCCCTCCCTTGGCGCAGCCCTTCTGCGTGTGGTGCTCTCATGGTGACCCAGGCCAGGCCAGAGCTCCCTTGGCCACAGGAGCAGAGGAGAGTGGTTCCGTCCTCTAGGGACACAAGCCCCCTGATGCTGCAGCCTCCACCTCGTGGACAGGGACCCCCATCCCACCCCGGCCACCTACCTGGCACCTTTGACCACAGAGCACCTGCAGCCCGCACACAGCCCCTTGCCTTTGTCCCTGAGCCCCATCCCCGCCCTCCTCCGGAGCGCCTTATGCTCCAGGCAGGGCCAGTGCTGGTCTCCAGCCACCCAGGCCCTCCCAGGGTCTGCATGCCACCGTCTGCCCTCCGCCATGCACGCCTGTGTCTAGGTGGTTCTCAGCATGGAGTCCACTCTTGTCCTGACTACAAGAAGGCTGAAGCCCTGGGCGGCGTGTGGCTCACAGTGTTGGCACCACTCAGCATAGGCGAGGGGGGCGGCCGCTTCCTCTGCTCTGTGAGGCTTTGGTGCCCATGACTTACATCTCCTTCTGGCTCTTTTCCTCCCTCCCTTCTGAAAAATGCACTATCTTATGTACACACAGGAAAACGTGGTACACATTTACACCCAAGAACCGCCCCCCGAAGTCCATCTGCAGAGCAGGCTCCTACATCACGCACCCCCTGAGGCCCCCTTCCGCCGCAGTTGCCCCGTGATGACCCAGGTCCCGCTTCCTGGAGCAGGGGCCTCCCCCAGCTCTGCTGAGGTGCCTGCCTCCTGTTGATCGGGGTGGTGACCTGGGTCTTGTCTGTGTTTTTGCATGACCCAGCAGTTCCTTCCTGACGACAGTTCCATCACATGGACCCAGCATGATTCCCTTGTCCAGACTCTCGGTGATGAATTTTCTAAGTTTGTGGCTAGAATATCACAAAACTTCTGTGAGCACATTTCTCTTGGATTTGTTCCTTGGAGTGGAATTTTTGTGTCCCAGAGCAGGACGTGGCTTCTCGCTCAGGCAGCTGCGTCCTCGCCAGCACTCCGTGTTGTGGTCTGTGTAATTCTAGCCACTCCAGCAGGCATTTTGTGGTATTTTCATCTTAAACTGCAGTTTCCTGATAACCAAGGAGGCCAAGCACCTTTTCCTGCCCTTACTGGCCACTGGCAGTGCCTGTGTTGTGAAGCACAGAGCCCTTCACAGCTTTCCTTGTGTTTTCTGCTGTGGTCTTTTCCGTGTTGCTTACAAAGCCTTCACGTGATCTGTGTCATTCTCGTCAGATCGATATGCACCGTGGATATTTTCATAATTTCAAAATGTTTGTTTTTAAATATTTCCCAGTATCTCAGGCCACGGCTTGACTTTTCACTTTCTTGGCGTCTCTGCAACGAGAACACGTTTTCAATGCTGATGAAGCCCACTGTATCACCTGTTGATTTTTACATGAATGTCTTTTGTGTTGTGAGGAATCTCGCATGGTCATGCAGGTGCTCTGTGTTTTCTTCTGGAAGCTTTTACCTCTGGATCCAGGGTCTTCTGGGTTGCCACTCACGCGTGATGTGAGGCTGGGGTTGTGGTCTGCCCTTTCCCAGGATGGCAGGTCACTGCAGCACATGTGGGGTCTCCTTCCCATTGGCTTGTTTGTGCAAAGGCAGCTGGTCACATGTGAGTGGGTCCGCCTGGACACTTCTGTTCCGTTGATCTGTTTCTCTTCCCTGTCTCCTGTATTACACAGTCCACACGGCAGTGAGCCTGGAGGTCTGGCAGGCGGCGTTCCCTGTCTCCTGTGCCACACCGTCCACACAGCAGTGAGCCTGGAGATCTGGCAGGCGGCGTTCCTTGTCCCCTGTGCCACGCCGTCCACACGGCAGTGAGCCTGAAGGTCTGGCAGGCGGTATTCCCTGTCCCCTGTGCCACGCCGTCCACGTTCCCTGTCCCCTGTGCCACACTGTCCACACAGCAGTGAGCCTGGAGATCTGGCAGACGGCATTCCCTGTCCCCTGTGCCACGCCGTCCACACAGCAGTGAGCCTGGAGGTCTGGCAGGCGGCGTTCCCTGTCCCCAGTGCCACGCCGTGCACACGGCAGTGAGCCTGGAGGTCTGGCAGGCGGCGTTCCCTGTCCCCAGTGCCACGCCGTGCACACGGCAGTGAGCCTGGAGGTCTGGCAGGCGGCGTTCCCTGTCCCCAGTGCCACGCTGTGCACACGGCAGTGAGCCTGGAGGTCTGGCAGGCCATGTTCCTTCGGCATGCTCTTTTCCAGGGTCTTGGCTGTTTTAGGTCCTGCTGTGCGTTTCCATTTCCATTCTGCAATCAGCTCTTCAGTTTTCATTTTGTTGAGTCCTTAACGTCAGTTTTGGGAATGCTGACTTCCTAATGATACTGAATCTTCAGGACACAAATATGACATTGCTCCCTTTATTTTAATCTTTCTTTACAGCATTCTGTCATTAGTAGAAGGATTCCACAGAGTTCATTCAGTTTATTGTTCGGCATTTGGCATTTGTAATGCTATATTACAAATGGGTTTTGCCACGTTGGCCAGGCTGGTCTTGAACTCGTGATCTTATGTGATCTGCCCGCTTTGGCCTCCCAAAGTGCTGGGATTATAGGTGTGAGCCACTATGGCCTGTTCTTTAAGAAAGTTGTAAATTCTTTTCTATCTGCTTTTGTTTGGGCACCGTCTGCTGACTTTGAGCCCTGCCTTCAAGCTCCCGATCCTTTTTGCTGTTCATTTCATCCAGGGAGTTCTGTTTCAGAGAGGGTGTTTAGTTCTGGAATTTCTGTGTGGTTCTTTATCCTCCGTCTTTCTGCTGTTTACATCCACACTTAGTGTCATTTCTGAGCACGTTTAGAGTAGTTATTTAAGAGCCTTTGCTGGCTGATTGGAGCCTCGGTCATCTGTGGGTTCGTTGCTTCTAGCATCTTGTTCTGATGAGAAACCACGTCTTTCTGCCGTTCACCTGTGTTATTATAGTCCCTATCGTAAGCAGGACGTCGTGCGGGAAAGAATAGCAGAGACTAAAGCAAAGAATCGTCTCCCCCACACAGCTGCTGCTCTCCCGTGCCAGGCAGGGGACACTGGGCTGGGGCTCCAACTAGTTTTCGCCACCGGCAGCCCAACTCCCTGGGCTTTCTGTTCAGTGCAGTGGGAAGCCGAGTCTCTTCTGCCTTCTGCACTGGGGGAGGTGCCTCTCCCCTCCTTTTCCTGCCCACTCGGTGGGATTCCCTGGTAGGGGGTTTGATGGGCGGGGCTGTTCCTACTCCTGAGGAGCTCCCTGGGGACTTGGGCCATTGTTTCCACCCTCAGAATCCTGCACCCACCTCCACCCTGCTGAGCCCACCTCCCTGGACTGGGTACTCCAGCTGTGGCTCCAACCCTCGGAATCCTGCTTCCACTCCGCCCTGTGAGCCCTCCCTGCACTGGGTTTCTGTGTGGCTCCTCTGGAACCCTCCGTCTTTCTGCTACTTACATCCACACTTGGCGTCATCTCTAAGCATGTTTAAAGAGCTTTTGCTGCAACCACCATGTTCCTTCTAGAACAGGTGCCTCTCTTTCTAGGATGTAGTGTGTTGAGGTGGTCCTCAGCTCTTCTGACTGGCCTCCCAGCCTCCTCCCATCCTGTTCCCTGGGCATTGGGCTGCGTCCGGCTGTCCTGTCTGCCTGGTAGTCTGGTCTCCGTGGCCCTCAGGGCACTGTGGGCCCCTCACACATGCTGTTCCAGCTCTCCAGCTCCCTTCCTGCCCCTCATGTCTCTAGCAAGCTTGGCCTTCTCAGGGAGGCCTGCCCTGGCCGCCGCCTTTGAAACTGCGTCCACTCCCCCGCCTGCCCCAGCACCCACCCTGCTTCCTTCCTTTGCAGCAGTTTCCTCCTACGCAATACAGGAGAGACTGCATTTATGGGCTGGGGTCCTATGTCCTTATAGCCGTGTCTGGGCTTCTGAGTCTGTGCCCACACTGTTGGCTCACAGTGCGTGCGTGCACCCTGCAGACCTTCCCTAGGGCAGAGCCAGCCCCAGCCAGACTCGGTGGCCCTTGCTCTGAGGGTCCTGTGCTGGGACCCGCACCAGCCTTGGACTGCTGGGGTGGGGACAGGCAGTTGGATGTGAAGGGCGCACAGCAGGGCTGGGGGACGGGCAGGCATGTCTGCCCGGGTGGCCTCCACTGCTCCACACAACCAGGACGGGACGTAACCCCAGCGGGACCATCCTGGTCTGGAAGTTTCCCTCCTGCCCCATTTGCCATCTCCACCGAGCTGTGGCTGGAATGGAGGTGCTGGAGACACTGATAGGTGGACCCGAAAGCAGACCGTTGGTGGGGCCTGGGCACACGTGGCGTGTGTGGGCCAGGTGGAGACCTGCTGACTGGTCCCTTTGACACGGAGTGGTTCATGTTTTGTCCTGTGGACAGGCCACAGTGGGGGTGGCATGGCTGACAGGTGATGTGGACCCAGGGGCTAGCTCACCCCTTTCCACCCCTGTGCACAGCCTCTGCCTTGGCAGCGGGCACGTTGGAGGCAGACATCTTGTGTGGAGTGGGCGTGGGCGCCCAAGGTGTCATCCTCGGCAGACAGACGGTCAAACTGAGGTGCAGAGGCCACTCTGACCCTGGCTGTGGGGGCTGGCCTCCTGGCCGTGGGTGAGCAAGGGTCTCATGCTGCATTTTGACGCCACCAGGTCGTGTAGGGCAGGCGGTGGCGCTGCGAGCCAAGGCCTTCGGCTTCAACGTGCTCTTCTACGACCCCTACCTGTCAGACGGCGTGGAGCGGGCACTGGGGCTGCAGCGCGTGAGCACCCTGCAGGACCTGCTGTTCCACAGCGACTGCGTGACGCTGCACTGCGGCCTCAACGAGCACAACCACCACCTCATCAATGACTTCACCGTCAAGCAGGTGCGCAGGCCGGGCACAGGACTCCCTTCTGGCAGGGCCAGCGTGAGGGACAGGTGGGGGTGTCAGGTGGGTCCCTGCTGCCACCCGCACCTGGGCGAGACCCTGCCCTCATCGAGCCACACCACGGTGTCCGCCAGCCCTGCTGGAGTGAGCCCCGTCTGCACAGACAGCTTTCTCCGTGTTCCGAGTTCTACTCAGACACCAAAAATACTCTCCATGCGAGGCAAGACCACAGGCCTTTGAGTACCAGATTCCCCTGAAGTCCTTGTCGCTCGCATAGCAGGGACAGACGCAGCTCCCTGGGGTCCTTGGGTCAGCCGTTGCGGCTTCCGCGCTGTGCCGGCACGTTCAGGTTGCATATCTGCAGCTGGAAAGGGCTGTGCTCAGGGGGCCTCTGCCTCAGCACTGCACTTCCCTGAGTGGGTGGACTTGGGGGTGGCTGGCTCCCACTGGCTCCCCCCTTTCAGGGGGTTGTATGTGCGCATTGGTGTGTGTGTACATGGGCACGTGTGCGTGGGTGCACGTATGTCTGCATGTTTGTATGTGCTGGTTAGTGTGTGCATGTGTGTACACATGTCAGGCCACGTGTCAGCCGTCTGTCCAGACCCCTGTAGCTGCAAGGATGAGGCCAGGTGCCCGCCTCCCCTTTCTTTGTTCACAGAGCCTTCTAGTGGACAGGGTGTGGCACATGGACACTGGTCAGAGCCCTGCTGTCTCTGAAGACCTTGGGTGTGAGGCTGCAACGGGCAGCACCTCACCAAAGAGGAGCCACTGTGACATGCACGGCTGCCAGCCAAACACCGTGGCCGGGTGCTGGCTTTGAAATGGGGGGATGCAGGAATGCCCTGGCTGCAAAGCCAAGGGGGAGCCTCTCCCAGGGCCTTTTGCAAAAGCTCCTGAAACACGAGCCTGTTCCAAAGACAGCAGGCTCTGCTGCAGGACCCGGCTGGGCTGGAGTCAAAAACCACGCCTCAGAGCAGACAGCCGTGGGCGTTGGGAGGCTGGGCTGGAGGGGACCCAGAAAGAGGGTATCATAGGAGCCAAGCCTGGAGCTCCGCCCAGTCCTCAGCTCGGCTTGCACAGGAGGGTTGAGCTCTCTAGGTGGTGTGGGGCTGTGTAGGTCTCTAAGGCCCGAGCCCCAGCCAGCCTGCCAGGGCCGTGGTGCCAAATGCCCAGGGCCTTCAGTCTGAGAGCCCTGCTGAGCCCAAGGTGGGCCTGGGCTGGGAAGGGGCTGGGGAGCTCCCCCACCTGATGGGGCACAGCGCCACCCTTGCTTCCCTGGTTGCCCACCCTGTGTGGATCCCTGACTGAGCCTAGCCTTGTCCTTACGTCTTCCAGATGAGACAAGGGGCCTTCCTGGTGAACACGGCCCGGGGTGGCCTGGTGGACGAGAAGGCGCTGGCCCAGGCCCTGAAGGAGGGCCGGATCCGCGGCGCGGCCCTGGACGTGCACGAGTCGGAACCCTTCAGGTGCCCCCACGGCTGGTGCCGCCCCTGCTCTTCCCTGCCCACCCTCCTGCCGGCCTTGACCTCCAGACGGCGCCTCTGCCAGGCCAGGCACTTGCCTGTGTGCTCAGCCTCTCGCTGGCCGGCACTGAGAGAGTTTGCCATCCACTGTGTGGTGAGGATGGAGCCATGGGCTCCGGGCCTGCCTCGCCTCCGTGCTGGGAGGGACTAGTTGTCCTCTGCAGCCTCTCTTTGGGCAGGGCTCCCAACCAGCCAGGAGAGCGTGAGGCTCCAATATCTGTGAGTGGTCCCCAATGGCCCTGGCCATGGAGCCACGGGGTCACATCCAGACCTGCAAATGGCGCCCTGGGACCCCAGGCAGCCCTGGGCTGGATGTTAGTTGCAGGAGAAGACACCCTTGGCAGGGGCAGGATCAACTTGTGGGACCCACAGACCCTTCAGTGGAGAGGGGCCAGGCCAGTATGTCCCCCCATCAAGGCTGCTCCCCTGAGGGCTCAGAGATTAAATCCCACCGCTGTCAGGAGCCCCAGTGGGTCTGACTGTCCCAGGCTGTGCCCTTGTGCTCAGCCCACCTGCCCAGCAGAGCAGAGGCCATGGGGTCTGCTTCCTAAGCAGGGCCCTCCCACAGGGTGTCCAGTGCCCAGCCACCTCACCCCCGAATGCGGGCGCAACATTCGGGCTGCACTGACTGTGCCCATGCTATTCCCAGCTTTAGCCAGGGCCCCTTGAAGGACGCACCCAACCTCATCTGCACCCCCCACGCCGCATGGTACAGTGAGCAGGCATCCATCGAGATGCGAGAGGAGGCAGCACGGGAGATCCGCAGAGCCATCACAGGTGGGCGCGGGGGCGGCTCTGTCAGGCCAGGGGAGCTCTGCAGAGCCATCACAGGTGGGCGCGGGGGCAGCTCGGTCAGGCCAGGGGAGCTCCGCAGAGCCATCACAGGTGGGCGCAGGGGTAGCTCCATCAGGCTGTGCGCCCACCTGTGGCCTGGGGCACCCTTCCTGCCAGCCTCAGGTGCTCGTGGGCTCACATCTGCCCAGCATCTGGGCCCATGTTCTGCCAGCTCAGGGCCGTGGTTCTCACTGCTCTCACCATGCCCCCAGCAGGGGCCTCTGAGGCCAAAGTCAGGCTGAGCCCTGGAGCCATGTCTGACACACTAGACTGCAGGTTGGGGCCTGTGAGCTGCTCTGGGAGGTTCCTGGGCTGAGTAGACAGGCCCCTCAGCAAGCTGGGCACATGCTCTGGGCTGGGGGTTGCCCACACTGTGAGGGTGCTGGCCACCGACAGTACCCAGTTGTGCCTGGGGAGCCCTGGGGCTGAGGGCAGGAGCACGCTGCCAAGGGCGCTGCAGTTCATGTCCTCAACCCAGTGGGCCATGCTCCTGGGGTGCCCTCAGAGCCACAGCTGTTCCTCCCTCCTGCGTCTCCCAGGCCGGATCCCAGACAGCCTGAAGAACTGTGTCAACAAGGACCATCTCACGGCCGCCACCCACTGGGCCAGCATGGACCCCTCGGTTGTGCACCCAGAGCTCAATGGGGCCGCCTACAGGTGAGCAGGCCCACTGGGAACTTAACAGCCTCCATGAGGGTGGGCAGCTTCCCCTGGATCCCAGCATAGCCCTTGGCAGAAAGGGCAGCATCTCTGCTGAGCTGGAGGATCTGGGTGGAATTGATGCCCACCTCACCCAAAAGTCCCACAAGAACCAGGGCCCCTTGGAAGGAGCCTGGGCTGGGTGGCCTTCAGGGCCCAGTGGACATGGGACTGCTGGGCAGAGGCCTATGTGGGCACGGGTGCTGTGGGAGCAGGGGACTGTGGGTGAGGTGAGGACCTCATGTTCCAGTTGCCTGGAGACACCAGAGCTCCCCTCCCCTGCCCTGAGAAGTAGCTTTGGTGGGCAGGAGCGTCTGTGCAGAGGCAAGGACCCTCACCCTGACTGCTGGTCCTCCTGGAGATGCCCCCTCGGTGCTGCTGCCACTGTGAGGGCAGGCGGGGCCTGGCCAGGTTGCCTACAGGTGGGCCCCACGGCTGGACCCTCTCCCAGCAGGTACCCTCCTGGCGTGGTGGGTGTGGCCCCCACTGGCATCCCAGCTGCTGTGGAAGGCATCGTGCCCAGCGCCATGTCCCTGTCCCACGGCCTGCCCCCTGTGGCCCACCCGCCCCACGCCCCTTCTCCCGGCCAAACTGTCAAGCCCGAGGCGGATCGAGACCACGCGAGTGACCAGTTGTAGCCCGGGAGGAGCTCTCCAGCCTCGGTGCCTGGGCGGAGGGCCGGAAGCCTCTCGGACCCGAGTGTGCAGAGGAGGTGCCTGTGTGGCAGCCCTGGCGCTGCAGAGACTGCCGGGCGGTGCAGGAGGCGGGTGGGCAGCGCCGGTCCCGTGTCGGTTGTCGTCCGTCCCGTGGGCTCTCTGTCCTGTGTCGTTCGCGTCCCTCGTTAAGCAGAAGAAGTCAGTAGTTACTCTCCCATGAACGTTCTTGTCTGTGTACAGTTTTTAGAACATTACAAAGGATCTGTTTGCTTAGCTGTCAACAAAAAAAACCTGAGGGAGCATTCGGAAATCAATTGGAGGTTATTTTTTCCTTTTCTATGTTGGAACGTGCCCCAGATGAGGCAGTTGGCAAACTTCTCAGGACAATGAATCCATCCCGTTTTTCTTTTTATGCCACACAGTGCATTGTTTTTTCTACCTGCTTGTCTTATTTTTAGAATAATTTAGAAAAACAAAACAAGGCTGTTTTTCCTAATTTTGGCATGAACCCCCTTGTTCCAAATGAAGACGGCATCACGAAGCAGCTCCAGGAGAAGCTTGGGCGGTGCCCGGCACGCCCGCTGCCCGCCGATGTCTGTCCTGGGGACGCGGAGGGTGGCAGCGTCCCCGCCTGCACCGGTGCCGTCCTGCTGATGTGGTAGGCTAGCAATATTTTGGTTAAAATCATGTTTGTGACTGTAACCATTTGTATGAATTATTTTAAAGAAATAAAAATCCCGGAAAGAGCCAGCGTGCCTGGCATCTGTTCTAGCGACTTTGTCTCACAACAACCCGGGTGAGCCTCAGTCCCGGCTGTGGTGACCTCCAGGGCCCAGCTCAGCCTCTCGGAAGTGGGCAGCCTGAGAAAGACCCCAAGACAGGGCCGTGGCAGGTTGGGCAGTGGTCTCTGTGTGTACCGGGCCTGTGCCTCTGCCTGCTTCATCCGTGGGGCACTGTAGGGTCCTGGCTGAGAGGCGGCCTGCTGAAGTGCCCCTGTGGAAGGGGAGCAGTGTGCCAGGTCAGGCCATTATGTTGATGTTGGTCTGACTGGCTGAGGTCCTGCCCTGCGGCCCACCCCCTCCCTTCTTGGCATACCTCCCTCAGGCCGGCCTGCGACCTGGGAAGACCGTGGGCCACAGGAGAATGAAGGAAAGCAGACGTCAGGACCGAGGAAGCTGCCCAGACCACGGGTCAGCCAGCCTACAGAAATGTGCAAAAAAGCCAAAAGGCGTCGCCCTCACCTTGGTCCACAGCCGCACCTGTTTGCTGGTGTCCTCTTCGAAATCCTGGCCTCCTGGTTCCTCAGTTTCCTTTGGACGTGTGGTCCATGCATGTCAGCAGGGTCCCAGCTCATTTTATGAGATTAACTTTGATACCAGACACCCCGGAGGAGCGCTCCCAGGCAGACTCCTGCAGGTGGGTCCAGGTAGTGCAAGGAGGGGCTGTAGCGGGCGCTGGGAGAACCCGGGTCCCTTTGGGACGTCCCTGGCCTAAGCCTTTCCCTGCATGCAGGTGGGTTCTCCTGCCAGCCCAGGCGTGCAGACCCTGCAGCGTCAGCCCCCAAGTGTCAGCCTCCCCCTGCTCCCTGCCCCATCTAAAGCAGAAGCAGTGGGGAGGCCCCTGCCTTTGGTGGGGGTGCCCCCTCCTACCTGGCAGTGCACCCCGGGGCCTGCAGAGGTCTTGGGTATGGGTAGTGGTTCACAGTCTCGAGGCCCACAGAGGGCAGCCCTGCCTCACTGACCGAGGCCTCTGCATCCTTCCCCTTAGCAGGTGAGTGGCAGAGAACACCCAGCCAGTCTCTGACCAGCTTGGAGCCCCTCATCCTGGAGCCCCCGGACCACTGAGGGGGGTGGCCTGGGCTGATGGGAAGGGTGGGTTCTGGACGGGTTTCGCCGACACAGGCATTGGGTGTGAGGAGGGGCAGCCAAGGTGACTTCAAGGGTCTGGGGTGCTGGCTGGAGCTGGCGTTTTCTGATACCGTTGGTGGGGGCTGCAGAGGCGGCGGTGGGAAGACCAGGAGTTCCACACTGACTGCTGGCTTGAGCCTCTGCACAGGCAAGCCCTGGGCTGGGTCACTGGGCCCTGGTCAGCCCCCAGGGCAGCCGAGGGTGGGGCCGCCCTCCCAGCTCCAGCTGGAGGCAGGCCACGCCCTGAGAGGCAGCCAGGCACTGGCAATGTGGGCTGGACGCAGGCCCGGAGGTCCCACTCAGCTGGCCTCAGTGTTTCCAAGTAAAAGGGTCGGTTTTCCCTGCAGAAAGGGAACGCCGCCAAGGGCTGTCCTCGGTGTGAGGCTGGCGGCCAGGGAGCCTGGACACTGAAGTGTGGCTCCGAGTCTAACAGAAAAATGTTTGGAGCCTCAAAAGGAACCTCCCTTTGGTGCCGCCTCCGGGGAGTCACCCTGTCCAGCCCGGCCCCAGGAGGGGTGCTGGTAGCAGAAGGTGGGTCGGGGGGGGCCTCAGCCTTGGTTTCCTTGCCGGTGAAATGGGCAGCACGGCTCATCTCCCTGGAGGCTGGTATTAGCCTGGAGATTGTGCCAAAACCCTAAGACAGAACGTGAAATAAGGTTTGCGTGTTGGAAGGGAAGAGATAAGCCGCTGGTGTTTACTGACAAGCGTCTGTGTAGAAAATCCAGGAAAATCAGCCACAGCCTGCAGCTAATCCTGGACGGGCCAGGGGGCCTCACAGGAGCACCTGTGGTGCCTGCCAGCTGTCCTGCCCACCCAGGGCAGAAACAAACAAAGGTGCAGACAGCGGGTGTCTGTGACGGGATGCATCCTGCTCTGTCCTCACGATGCAGGGTCTGGCCCGTTAGCCCGATTCCGCAGTGAGCACAGTGGCCAGAATCTGGTCCTAGCCGCCGGCACCTGGCTGGTAAAGACCGTGGGAGTGACCGGGGCCGCCAACCTCCATGGTGAATGGTGAGGCTGTCAGATGAGACGGGCTGTGCTTGTGGGGCGGGCTGCTAATGTCATAAAATACTGTGCTTTAAATATATTTTTCCAAGTGCTATAGACTTCATCACCTTCCCAGGCAAAATTTCAGCTGCTTACATTGAACAAGTTCAACGATTTTATCCCCAAATTTATATGGAGCAACAAAGGTCTATGAATCTGGGCTTGTGCAACTCAGGTGTATTAAAAAGGGAACAGCCACAGCCGCCTCCTGGTTGTAACACTGAGGGCTTTGGGGCAGTGGATGGTGGAGAGGCGGTGGGGCCCGCTGGCTTGGTGTACGTGTGCGTACGTGTAGGTGTGTGGGTATCTGCCTGGTTGGCAGGTGTGTGCTTGTGCTTGTGAACTGGAGAGGTGATCAAGGGCACAGGTCCCGGGCCCTCATGGGTAAAACAAGAGCCCTGGTATGCCAGCCATAGAGGCGTGGGCGACCCCTAAACTGGACAGCAGAGGCACAGACCATGAAGCAGAGGCCATTGCCTTCGTGTGTTCACACCTGGCCCAGAGTCCATTCAAGAAAGGGCTGAGAACAGGTGGCAGGGCACACCTTCCAGGTGGGCGAGGGCCCTGCTGGGACCCCTGGAGCAGGAAGAGGCCATGATTCCCAGGTCTGGCGGAGGGCTCTGGGGCAGGAGGGGTGGAACCGGGGAGGGCCAGGCAGCGGCTGCCCCAGCTCCTCTGGCTACTGCGCCTTGGTGGAGAACTCTCCTTTGGCTGCTGACAAACACCTGGGCTCTGGCCTCCCTAGACCTCCTCCCAGGCACGGGCGCAAGGGGAGGCTGCAGGCAGCTCTAGGGACCTGGACAGGAAGTTGGGAGGGTCAGGACAGTTCTTTTGGGTGGCCCAAGCAGGGCACAGGATGGGGAGTCAGGCTCTTTGGGATCCCCACCCCAGGCAGGGCCCCCACCCCCTCCTGCCTTCTGTCCCCACTGTGGGCCCAGAACTGACCCCGAGGAGGCCGGGAAGCACCTACCACCCCTGCCCCCGGCTGCTCTCAGCCAGAGCCCAGCTGGACTTGCAGGATTGATTTTCCAGCAAAAAACAACTGCAGAGAAGCCCAAGAGAGGCCCAGCTGCACAAGACCTCCCAGGCCTCCTCCCCGCCCCCCCGCCCACCGGCACTCCCTGCAGGAAGGAAAACCATCTGGCCACTGGGCCCTGAGCCCGGTGCCCGGAGGAGGACCTCGGCCCAGCTGAGCAGCTCCGCACCCCAGGCTGGCCCCAGGCCTCTACCCACCTGACCCGCTCCCTTCGGCATTGAGCCCAGGCAAGGATGGGGTGGCCCAGCCAGGGTGTGGCCCAAGGCCCCTCTGAGCACCAGCACTGCTGAGTCTACCTCTGCTCCCCCAAGCCCCTGACCACTCCGCTGGACAGCCTTGGCCACCCTTGGCCCAACCCTCAAACAGCAGCCAAGGGCTTCCCACCAGGGTCCGCACACATCCCTGAGAGGCAGGTGTTGTGACTTGAACAAGATCAAGGACAGGCAGCCGGACCCTCCCTGCATCTGAAGCGCGGGGCATGGCTGCTCCTCTGGGGCGGCCTACTGCTGCCCTTTTTTTTTAAACCAGCTGCTGACCCCGTTGCTCAGTGACAGCAGGACCCGACTGTGGAGGGCTCGCCACGCACTCTCCAGGTCCTTGACACAAGCTGGCTCCAGCAGGGGGGTGGGGGCCACTCTGGAGGACGCCAGGGCCAGCCAGGGCTATGGATGCTGGTGGGACAGAGGGTGGCAAGGAGCCAGACTCACCACGGCACGACCAGCCCCTGCAGGTGTCTGGAGCTCCAGCCTCCCCCACTCTGTGCAATGGGTGGTCACACCTAGCAGGGCCCAGCTGCTTACCTAGAGAGTAGGTTCTGAGCAGCAGCCTGGGGTCCCAGGCCAGCCTCTGCCCAGCCCCACGCTCACCCGACAATGCCTCCCCGGCACTGCCCTGCACCTGCCCACACCAACCCCAACCCCTCACACCTGCCCCCACCCGCCCTGTACCTGCTCACACCTAACCCCATCCATCCCCACCTGGCCCCATCCACCTCCCCCCCCCTCCAGCCACCCACACCTGCCCCACGACCCCCACTGCCTCTTCTGCTGTCCCCATCACCCCCACCTTCCATGTGCTCCCACATGTCCCCTCACCTGCTCACACCTGTCCGCCCCTCACCTGTCCACTCGTGGTCAAAGTCACGTGCTATACACCCACCCCATACCTGGGGTTCACCTGGGCTGGGGTTTGCTCTCTGCTCCTGGCTGGATGCCCTGGCTCCTCTGCCCCCTGAGGGAGACCTCCCAGGGCAAGCCGCCTCCCCCGCAAAAGCCTCAGGCCCTACCTCCCCTCTCCGCCTGCAAAGCTGAGCCCGAAGAGGTTCCTTCTATTCCAAGAGCCCCATTCGGCCTGCTGGGTCCCCATGCCCTGAGGAGCTGCTGCTCTTGCTGGGCACCCCGGCCCCCCCACCGGGGACACATCTCTCCCAGAGGCATTTGCTGTGGGTCCCCGCACTGGGGCCGCCAGGTCACTCCCTCTTCTCATCCGTCACAACGTGGCCCTCCCTCTGGCCCCAAAATCTGGTCTGCCGGCCTCCCCCTGCTCTAGCAGAGCCGTGGCAAGGCCAGGCCAAGGGCTAACACCTCTCAGCCCTGTCAGCTCAGCCTAAGCCCACAGCCAGCCCAGGGGAGCCAGGGGCTGCAGCCGGGCAAGTGGCTGAGTGGCACCCACAGGCCCCGGTCAGGGCCCTCTCCAGTCTGCTGTGCCCTGAGACGCGGCTCCTTTCGGGGGCACACACGGACTCAGGAGGAGCAGTGAGGAGCGTCCTCCTGATCATGGTCCCAGGTTGACCTTGGGTAGGGCAGGGTCACCCTGACAGCTCCCAGCCCAGTGCTGGGGGAGGAGTCCAGGCAGGAGAAGGCCATCCTGGACATGCAAACCCAACACTGGGTGTGGCCTCTCCCCAAAAGCTCCACTTCCCCACCCCCCAACTCCCTGGTCAGGGTGGGAGCCTGGAGGGAGACAGAGGCCAGGAGGCAGCCAGGAGAGCTGGAGGTGGGCATCAGGGATGAAGAGTGGCTTCCTGTGGCCTCAACCCCCAGACCCAAGCGAGGAGGCCTCAGGGGCCCCTCCTGGACCTTCCTGCCCATCCAAGCTGAGGGTCCCAGGTTGTTGGCCAAGGCCCTGCACGGCTTCCGAGGTGAGAGGTGAGAGGGGCCCCTGGTGGGGACTGGGTGGCTGTTTGTGAGCGGGGCATCTGAATGAAGGAGCCTGGGAGGGCCTGGGGACATAAAGACACCAGCATCTCCCTTGATCAACACCAAATGACAGCCCCCGCGGCCCCCACCCTTCCTCAGGCTGCCACAGGCACTGCCGGCAGAAGCCTCAGATGCTTGGGCTGGCGGAGGGGAGGGCCAGGCAGCTCTGATGGGGCCTCTGGGTACAGGGATTTGGGGGCCAGGATTCTCGGTTTTAACCCTGAAGCCTAGCACCCCTGCAGGCCCCCTGGGTGCTGGGCACGGCTCTCCCTGGACGAAGCCCACAGCTCCGTGGGTGCCAGTGGCAGTTCTGGTAAAGACATGGATGTGGACACCAGGGGGTGGGTATTGCCCCGGATGCAGCTGCTCCGAGGAGGCCCCAGCTCGAAAGTGCCTCCCCTGTGCCCAGCGTGAGCACTGGGCTCAGCCAGTGCCACCTCCTGTGTCCAGGAGCCCTGGACATGGCCTCTTCCCCAGGACTTCAGCCAGGCGCTGTCTCTACCCATGGCCAGTTCCTCTCTGTGTGCCCCAGGGTCTTGCCCTATGTGCAGTCCAGGCAGCGTAACGGGAGGGCGTGGGCAGGGCCTGGGGAGGGGATAGCTGGGTCTTCTGCCTCGACCACAGGGACAGGCCAGGCCTCACAGCCAAGCACCCCGGAGGAGCTGGGCACACACAGCTGGAGAGGCTGCACCCCAGCACGCTGCTGTGACTCCACACAGACCTCGGAAATGGATTTGAAGACAGAGGTGAACTTGTGAGGGCAGCCGTGTATGGCATTCACAGTCAGGCCTCAGCTCTTTCAGATTCCAGCACTCCCAGTTAGGAGGGATGATGAAGAAAGAAAAGGCACCATTTTCAACAGCTACAAAAGTGTGCACTTCTAGGAGCAAACAGCGGGCAGATCTCTACCAGTTGGAGAGGGCCTGGCACCTGACCGAGGGCTGCAGACCAGCAAGAAGGCCGGTCTGTCCAGGGCGGCAGGAGGCATTGTCCCCTGCGCTGGCGCAGCCACGGCAGGACAATTAAAACACCAGAGAACCCTGGAACCAGGTAGATTGTGAAGTTAACGTGGAAAAGTAAGAAAATGAAGGAAATTCTGGAACAAAGGAGCAACAGGAGAGCTGTGGCCACCAGGTTTTAACAGACACCGGAGGCCGCAGCTCTCAGGCCCGTGTGGGGCTGGTGTGTGGATCAGTCATGGTAAAAGACAATGGCGAACACACAGGCATTACAGACACGCTGAAGGGGACATCTTGAATCCGTGAGGGACTGTGGCCAAATCAACAGTGTGAAGCCTCGTCCTGGGGCTGTGTCCTGCAGACAGTCAGCGCTGTCTAATGTTTCGGGGACCCCTGCATCAGGCCAAGGTTGTGGGGTCACACAGCAGCATTTCTCTGCATTTCTGGCCAGTGACTGAGCAGAAGGATGTGTAACGGCTCCAGGGTGAGGCAGTGAAAACCCGATGTGCTAAAGAACTCTTACAGGTCAGCAATAAAAAGATAAACAGCCAAGTTTAAAAATGGGCAAAGGATCTGAATAGATGTTTTTTCAAATCATGTAAACACCAGCCAACAAGCTCAGGACAAGGTGCCTAACACCGTGAGCCACCAGGAAACGCAAATCAAAACCACACGAGGCCCCACCTCACACCCACTGGGATGTCTGGAGCCAGACGTGTCAGCGGTGTCAGGGCAGAGACACAGAACCTCACGTGCAGCAGCGCGAGACGGTGCAGCCGTTTCTTCAAAGTGTGAAGTCAAATTTCCACATGACCCAGCAATCCCATGCCTGGGGACACGTCCCTGAGAATCAGAAACATGTGTTCACACAAAAGCTCATCCACAAATGTTCCTAGTAGCATAATCCACAATAGCCCCAACGTGGGCACAGCTACGTGCCCATCGGCTGATGGGCAGATGGACACGCTGTGGCCTGGCCCCACGATACCACTCACCTGCAGCTCTGGCCCACGCGCCAAAGCAAATGAGCCTTGAAAACATTTGCTAAGTGGAAGAGGTCGGATGCGGACTGCCACAGATCACGTGAGACCACTTATGTCAAATGTCTGGGATGGGCAGGTCCATGGCGACACCGGGTAGGCTCCCGGCTGCCGGGCCAGGGGAGAGGGCACAGCTGGGAGAAAACAGGACGCGTCTTAGTCCATCCTGGCTGCTACAACCAAACACCTCAGACTGGGTAATGTATAAGCAACAGAAACGTATTTCCTGCAGTTCTCAAGCTGGGAGGTCCAAGATCCAGGCGCTGGCAGGCCGGGGTCTGCCGAGGGCAGCTCCAAGGGTGGTCCAGCCTCACAGCACAACCTGGAGGGAAAGCAGCCCGGCTAGTTCCTTCCAGCCCTTTCATGAGGGCCCTGAGGGCAGAAGCATTGCAGGGTGGGCCCCTCAGGCACCGCTGCCACCAAAGTGCTCACAGCCTGCCTGTTCTCCCCAGATCCTGGCCCAGCCCTCCTTGGCTGCCCCAGCCATGGTCAGGCAGGCGTGGGTGCAGCCCCACCCATTGCTCCCGAGGGGACATGTGGTGGGCCTTGGCAGCATCCACATGGCACTGACCCTGCAGGCCACGGTGGCCTCCGCCCAGATTTCAAAGTGTGTTGCTGACAGCCTTGGGGCCCAGGCAGAGACTCATCGTGGGGACAGAGCTGCCTTGGAGTCCCCACCCGGGCAATGCCCAGTGGAGCCGAGGCAGGGGCTGCCTCCAAGGCCCCAGGACTTCAGGGCCACAAACGAGCAGCCGCAGCCTGGGAGAGCTGCAGGCAGGAGACTCTGACCCACGAGTGCTGTGTGGGCCAAGCCCTGAGAAGCCATGGGCCCGGCCCTGCCCCTCGTGGCTGCAAGGTGGGCATGGATTCCAAGATCGCCCCCGAGCCTGAGTGTCACCCTGTCTGCCCTGCCGCGTGTGGACTTACCTGGGCTTGCTCTTCTCTTTTCTTGCCTATTTCTCCCTTTTGGAATAGAAATGTTTGTCGTGAGCCTGTCCCACTGCATTTGGGAAGCACATAACTTGCTTGATTTCAGGGGCTCACAGCTGCAGGGGAGCCTGCCTTCAGATGGCTTGTGCCTGGAGGCTCGCCCCCTCTGAAGCAGATGAGACGTGGAGCTGCAGAGTTGTGAGTTGGTGCTAGGGTGAGTTAAGACTCTGGGGCAATTGGGATGGAATGAATGTGTTTTTTGATGTTTAATACCCAGTGTCACCTTGACTGGATTGAAGGATGCAAAGCACTGATCCTGGGTGTGTCTGTGAGGGTGCTGCCAAAGGAGACTACCATTTGAGTCAGTGGACTGGGAGAGGCAGACCCACCCTCCGTCGGGGTGGGCACCATCTCATCAGCTGCCGGCGCCGCCGGGATAGAGCAGGCAGAGGAACGTGGAAGGACTGGACTGGCTGAGTCTCCCAGCCTCCGTCTTTCTCCCGTGCGGGATGCTTCCTGCCCTCCAACCTCGGACTCCAAGTTCTTCAGCTGTGGGGCTCCTGGACTCACCCCAGTGGTTTGTCAGGGGCTCTCGGGGCTTCGGCCGCAGACACAGCGGTGCTGTCGGCGTCCCTGCTGTTGAGGTTTTGGGCCTCGGACTGGCTTCCTGGCGCCTCAGCTTGCACACGGCCTATGGTGGGACCTCACCTTGTGATCGTGTAGTCAGTTCTCCTCAGAAACCCCCTTCACAGATGCGTCTACCCTATTAGCCCCGTCCCCCTAGAGGACGCTGACTCGTCCGATTTTGTGAGAAGGGTGAGTTCTGGGCCGGCGTGCAGTGCTTGGAATGCTTGCATCCTCTGCAGCTCACGCTGAAACTGAGACCCCCTGCAGCTGGGCCGGGAGGTGGGGCCTGATGGGAGGTATGGGATCCACTCACGAGGCAGAGCCCTTGCGACTAAAGCCACTTTGGAAAGGTCTCATGGGGCAGGCCCAGCCTCCAGCCGCGTGAGCAGGCGGCATACGAGGGGCCCTCGTGGAAGAGGAGGGCCGACATGGCCCTGCCGGCACCTTGGCCTCTAGACCGTGAGGCAGGAAGTCTCTGTTGATAAACTGCTGCCTGGTCTCTGCTGTGGCCACACTCAAACCACGGCAGGGAGCGGCTGCTAACAGGCACAGGACGTCTTCTGCAGATGATGCACGTGTTCCGGAATGAGATTAGTGGGGATGGTCACACAACTTAATGAACATACTACGAACCACTGAACAGTGCACTTTAAAGGGTGACTTGTGTGCGTGTGAACGACACCTCAGTGAAGCTGTTTTTCAGGAATCAGGAGAGCCACTGTGGAGGCCACGCCTCAAGAAGACAGCACCGGAAGACCAGAAACGGCACTGGGTCCCCGTGCGGCAGGTGCTCCCGGGATGTGGGCAGGGTGAAGGCAGTCTTCTCTGTGGTCACATGCGTGAGCCCCTGCCTTCTCTCTCGGGGCCTCCTCCGTCCCTGCGTGGTTTGGGGTCTGTTCCTGAAAACACAAACGGCCTGGTCACGAACACCTGCCTGCGTTGTTGGCCACAGGCCTGGCCTGGGGAAACCCACACCCTTTTCAGAGAGGCGAGCTCTGGGCGTGTCAGTGCCTGAAGCCAGTGGGCTGGGAACCCACAGCAGGGACACTCAGAGCGGGCAGGGTGGGCACAGGGCCCCAGCATGCCAAGAGGCCAGTCCACCCTGCTTTGTCACCGACCACATCCCGTGGGGAAAGAGGCTGGAGGGGCTGGGGCATCTGCATTTGGCCTGCAGGGAATCTGGGTCCCCCTGGCTGTGGGTGGCAGGGGAGGGCCGGCGTGGGCAGGCTGCACCGAAGGCCCCCCAGGCCAACCTGGTCAGGGTGGGAGGGGGAAGGGGCAGGAAGCCTCAGCCTGGACCAGGTATGGTGTGAACAGCCCACATGGGAGGGGCCGGAACCGCCCAGAAGGCCTCAGCATATGCGTCTGCTGCAGCAGAGCCAGGAGGGCACGGGAGGCACAGGTCCAGGGCAGAGGCACCACGTGGGGCTCAGCCAGTGGTCAGGGTCATGCCTGGTTGGTGGCACTGAGGACCCTGCAGCCTTGGCCCCCCTCTCCGGGAGCTGATTTCCTCCACATGGTCACAGCAAAGGCAGGCACCAGAGGGGCCAGAGGTGTGGGGGGCTGCACCCCACTGCTCGTCTCCCCCTTACCACCCGTCCAGTGATGTCCACGCAGATGGGAGGTTTTGAGGGGCGTCCACACCTGGCCTGCTGCGGCCGCCCAGCTTCCTGCTAGGGAGATGGGGCCGGTGCTGATGGGGAACAGCTGTTGTGGGGGCAGCCAGAGGAAACCATGTTCCCATGGGGTGAGCTCATGGTTTATGTGTTCCCCGCCAGATCCATAACATCCTGGAGGCAGAAATGCAGAGGCCGCCCCCGCCCCCGCCCCCGCCCAGCCTCCCTGCTCTGACACCAGGGCCACTCAGCTGTCCTTGCCCTGCCCGCACCCCCTGTCCTGACGCCCCCTCCTCCCTCCACTCGCTCCCCATCATTGACTCCCTGGCCCCCGACCACCCTGCTCATCCCTGAAGCTTCTCTAGGTCCTGGACTCCATTCTGAAGTGTCCGGTGCGCCCACCCAGCCTCTGGGGGTGTTGAGTGAGGGGTGACCCAGGAAGAACGCATCAGAGACAGTGGACAGGGAGGCGTTTAACTCACAGCAGCCCCGCCAGGCAGGCACAACCATCGCCCCCGCCGCAGATGTGGGGAGTGAGGCAGGCAGGTGCGACGTGGCCATCCTTGTCTGGTAGCTGGCGGCCAGCATTGGAGCCTGGGTCCACGCTGCCTGTTCTTTCCTTCCTGGGCTGTGCGCTGTTTCTCCTGGAGTGACCGGAGGCAATTTCATGGAACCCGGAGGCTGGGCTTCAGGCTGGCGGGGGCACTCGGGGCCGGGCCCTCTCCGCTGCTCTGCTCCCGGCTCTCCAAGCTGCAGCCCTCAGGCCCTGCTTCCTCTCACACCCACCCACACTTCTCTCCCCAGATTGTTGGGGGCTTTTGACACCTGGAGACGCTGTTCCCGTCATCGCCCCTTCTCCTGCGATGATGTTGCCCTGTCCCTGCCACGGTGAGACCAGGTCCAGCCAGGCCAGGCCCTGACCAAGGGCTAACCACGGAACACATGTAGCAACATGGGCCACGCCTCACAGGTGGTCTTGGAAAGCATGGCCTCTCCTCTCCTGCTCCGACCCCGGCCCTGGCCCCTCGAGACGGCTGGACATGGGCATTTCTGCACCCAGTGGAACCCCGCAGCCAGGAAAAACCGCCTGGAAGACTGAAGGAGAGGCGTGATGAGGAGACCCGCGTGTGGCAGGTGACAGAGCAGCCTACCTAGCTGTTCTCAGCCACCATATGGGAGAGAAATGGTGCCCCCGCTGAGTTCCCGATGGCCTGAGCTGCTCCTTACAGCATCCTAACCTTCACCCTGGCAAATGGAATATTTTGACTTTTTTTTTTTTTTTTGAGATGAAGTCTCACTCTGTCACCAGGCTGGAGTGCAGTGATGCAATCTCGGCTCACTGCAAGCTCCACCTCCCAGGTTCAAGAGATTCTCCTGCCTCAGCCTCCCAAGTAGCTGGGACTACAGGTGCACATCACCATGCCCGGCTAACTTTTTATATTTTTAGTAGAGATGAGGTTTCACCATGTTGACCAGGATGGTCTCGATCTCTTGACCTCGTGATCCACCCGCCTTGGCCTCCCAAAGTGCTGGGATTACAGGCGTGAGCCACCGCGCCCGGCCTCTCTCTTAGATTTTTTTGCATCTTCTAAAAGTGGTATTTGTCTATGGTTTTCTCTTTTTGTTCCACATCAGGTTTTTGAATTAAGCTATCCTGGTTTCATGAGACAAATTGCAGAGTTTTCCATCCTTTCATGTCTTGGGAAGGTTAAAATAACCCTGGGATGACTTTTCTTCCACGGGAAGTGAGGTCATCGTCAGCTGCGGACATCTGCTCCCGGTGCCCTTCTTTCCTGGTTCAGCTCTCCCCTCCTCCAGCACCACGTGCTCATCTCGTGATGCCGCAGGTCTGAAGTCATTCTGGCACTTTACACCCACGAGAACATCGCCCCTTGCTTCAGGTTTCCAAACAGCTGCCCCGGCTGAGTGCTGGAGTCCCATGATTCTCCCAGTCTCTTCTGTGCTTGGGTCTCCTTTTTCCTAATCGTTTGTGGGTTTTTTTATTCAACATACACAAATTCTAAATAGAGGTATTTATTTATTTATTTATTTGAGACAGTCTCACTTTATCACCCAGGCTGGAGTGCAGTGGTGCGATCTCAGCTCACTGCAGCCTCCACCTCCCGGGTTCAAGCAATTGTCTTGCCTCAGCCTCCCGAGTAGCTGGGATTACAGGCGCCCCACCACACCCAGCTAATTTTTGTATTTTTGTAAAGACAGGGTTTCACCATGTTGTTGCCCAGGCTGGTCTCAAACTCCTGGCCTCAAGTGATTTGCCTGCCTCAGCCTCACAAAGTGCTGCCATTACAGGTGTGAGCCACTGTGCCCGGCTTAGACAGTCATGAGTTGATGCAGCTTTTGGGCTGGGCAAGGGGATTTTATTTCTTTCAAAAAAACAATCATTTCTCCTTTTTACTTATTTGTTTTCTACCTCATAAATTTCTGGCTGTATCTTCATAATTCTCCCTACTTTTTTTTTATTATTATTTTTTGAGACACAGTTTCACACTTGTTGCCTAGGCTGGAGTGCAATGGCCCTGTCTCGGCCCACCGAAACCTCCACCTCCCGGGTTCAAGCGAATCTCCTGCCTCAGCCTCCCGAGTAGCTGGGATTACAGGCGTGTGGCACCATGCCCGGCTAATTTTGTATTTTTAGTAGAGATGGGTCAGGCTGGTCTCGAACTCCTGACCTCAGGTGATCCACCCGCCTAAGCCTCCCAAAGTGCTGGGATTACAGGTGTGAGCCACTGCGTCTGGAATTTCTCCCTGCTTTTTAAAATGCACTTTCTTGTTCTTGTTCTACTTTCTTAAGGTGGCACAAAGTCCCTCATGCTTATTTTTTCCTCTAAAAAATAAGAAGCGTGCGGGGGGCTCTGGACGCTGAATTAGCTGAGCCCTCAGCACTGGATCAAAATGGTTTCTCGGCTTTTCAGAGAGCGCACGTTCAGATCTGATATCCTGTTTCACCTAAGGACTACCTGGGAATGTGTTGGTTTCTAAGTTTTGGGGGAAGAGGGGACATGTTCAGTTATTTATTTTACAGTATTTGGATAAGAGGATCATTTTAATTAATCTACTTTTTGGTTCCTTGAGGTTTCCTTTGCAGCCAATACACAACAGACAAGGGCTTATCAGAATTTTTCCCTCGAGGGATGTTTGGAAGTACCGTTTTCCCGTGAGGGATGTGAGCATGACCGTCCCTCTTGATCATGCTCTGCGTTTTTTCATTGCCACTAGACCTAATCATGGAGAGAGACACAGAGGGAGCTCCTGCGACGGGAGTCCCCTCTTCACGTCCCCTTCCAGTTGGCTTCCGAGCTTAGCTCCCCCGTTGTTTGGTCCATGAGGTTTATGTCTTTTACCTGGGTCATCGCCAGCCACACTGACCCCGCCGTGCCCACCCGCATGTGCTGACATCACAGGCCCTACTCAGCCCAGCTTCCTCTCCCCTAGCCTCACCTTGATGTCAGCGGGGTGCCCTCTGCTCTGACTCGTGGGCAGTGGCTGGCTTCCTTCCGGCACTTTCTCTGGATAACCCATATGGATGACATGCCTTCTAATGTCTGCTGTTACGCTTGCCCGTGGCATTTCTGGGCTGGTGTACAATGCCTGGGGTGGAGCGGTCTCTCTGGTGATCATGGACGATTCACCGTCCCCTGCTTCTGGTGGCACAGATGAGAACTCCAGGCCCTGTGCTCTCTCTGCTGGCGCACGCGTCTTCCCTCCAGACAGGCTGCACACCTACTTAGGGGGTTTCCGAGGGAGAAGAGACAGGCAGAGGCCTAAGTGGGGTGCCTGGCAGTCAGGCAGCATCCCTGGTCACAGCAGCGGCCTCTGCTCTGCTTCTTAGCGGCACCTGGTGAGACCCCTGTGAACCAGGGTCTTGGTCAGCACAAGGCCACACAGCTCACGTGTATGCTTCGGAGCTGCTTCCATGGCAGAGACAAGAGGTCCCCACGGAGCCCACGTGGCCCCTAGAGACTTGTAGACCCCTGTGCTATCAGACGGAGGAAGCTGAGGCCCAGAGAGGCAAAGTCACCTTCTTGAGGATGCACAGCCATGAGTGAAGAAGCTGAGTTTTCTCCTGGTCTCTCTGACCCTTGAACATGTGGCCTCTGGGTGTGCCCAGTAAGAGGCGTTAAAGAAAGGCCTCCTCCACGAGCCAGGCTGCGGTGGGCACCAGGCACCCTGACAATGTGCTTCCCGGTTCACAGAGGAGAAGGCAGAAGGCGTGCCGGAAGGTTGTCCTGGCCTGTGTGAGCTTTGGTGGGGGGAGGGGTGGAGGGTGCCATGAGCCTTAATTCTCATGTGAGACATGGGGCCCCAACCCAGATCTCCATAGCAAAGGTGAAGTCACCGACTCAACAAGGCACGTGGCCAGCCATTGGGCTCGTGCCACAATCCCAGAACTGTGGGAGAGCAAGCAAGGATGGCTCCAGGCCAGAAGTTCGAAACTAGCGTGGGCAACACAGCGAGACCTACTACAAAAATAAACAATTAGCTGGGTGTGGCAGCACACACCTGTAGTCCCAACTACTTGGAGGATGAGGTGTGGGCATCCCGGGGCTGGGGGCATCCTGGGGTGGGGGACTTAGGGCAGGGGCGTCCCAGCGCTGGGGGCCACAACCAGGCTTCCCGCCTCTGCGTGCTGACGGCCCTGGGGCTGTGAGGGCGATTCTGCAGGGAGCCCCCCTCCAGCCCTGCTTGCTGAGGGCTACTCGGCGCGCGGCTGCGGCAGTGAGGCCCTGGATGCAGCCCCCACCCGCCCAACCTCTGGACCTGTGCCTGGAGCCTGGGGGGTTCGGGTGCCAAGGCACCCTCCAAGGGGCTGAGGGCTCAGGAGGGTGCTGGGAGCTGGCAGGACTCTGAGGGGCAGGGGGCCGCCAGGGCTGCCAAGCAGGGCCACCGAGGGTCCAGGGGTCAGGGCCCGCTGCCTCTGGGAGAAGTGGCCGCAGGACAGTGAAGGGGCTTCCCGTGCTGCCGGCCACACACCGGCGGACCTGCCATGGGACTGCAGGAGATGTGGGAGCGGGAGGGTGAACCATGGGCACCAGCCTCGGCCATCTCCAGAGGACAGCGGTGGGGCACAGCCCGTGAGTGGCGGGCTCCGCCCCTGCACCCCAAGCAGAAGGTGCTGGGGTGGTCGAAGGCGCCCTCCCTGTGGCCCTGAGCCCTGAGCCGCAGGCCCGGGATAGGGCCGCTGGCTGTGGGGGTCGGGGCCGCTGGCTGTGGGGGTCGGGGTCGCTGGCTGTGGGGGGGGGGGGG